AATGAAATTCAGCATATTTTTAGCCAGTCTATTCTACGGTTCCTGTGTTCCCAGTTCCGCCACGATGCGACACCCGCTCTCGGCGTTTTGGATTATCTCCTCCTTAATTTTTCTTTCGCAAAAAACAAAGAGCGGACTTAAAATTTTTACGCTCTCCTGCACCCGGCTAATGTCCCCGCGTGAATTACACGAACCGTGCACCGTGTGCATACATCACGTAATCACGCATTGTTCTTGGCATTAGCTGTCTGCGGCTTTGTAAGATTTTTTGCCCGTGGACATTATTTCGGGAATTTGCGACTCCATCGCTGTTCTGTTGGGATAAAAATGCTAATTATTTTTTTTTGAAACTGGATGTTTGTTATTATAAATTACTTGGTTGTACGAACAAAATTGTGAAATAGAATGTTGATTTTTTATTTACTTCTGTAGGTTAATTTTAGTACACTTTTATAAAACGTGAGTTTCAAAAAATTCTCATAAAAATTACTCATTTACGGACATAAAGTAAATTACATGCATCTTAGATCATTGTCAGAAGATTGACGATTTGTCATCAAACTTTAGTCCTCAAAAAGGGCATAGGTATTCTAGAAATTGCCTAACAACATGGGCATGGCTGGACAGGGCAATATTGGACACTGAGACCGTTCCACAAAAGACTACCGATCAATTCGTTCGGTCGAATATTGTGTGGCGCATCCTTTTAACGTTTGTGAGCCGCAAACAAAGATGTTAAATACCCTAGATATACCGACAACGTTCAAAAATGGCCTGAAAAATGAGTGCTTTTAAGCTCTCTTTTGCTCGTAGTCGCGCGCGAGGCATAGATGATTCAATACGCCAAATTGCTCCTTAAAAAGAATTAAAAAATATACTTTTATAAAAGACAGTCTCGACCAAGATTTTATACGTGATCACATCTAGGGTATTGAATATCGTTGGCCACAAACGAGTACCCTGTTTGACAGCACTTGGAATAGACAAAAATAGAAACGCAAAGGCTTTTTGTGGCTGAAAAGCACTAACTGGAGTGCCACCATGATGAGCTCCAAATGAGATTGTGGTCTTAGTACGATTCTCACTGGCGAACAGCTATAGGAGGATTTTGTAGCAATAAAGGAAGTTAAACTTTCTAGTTCATTTTATAACATTAACGTTAGGAGGGTTTTGTATTCATTCAAGTAAATAATTCTAAATTAGTTTTTCTCTAATTTCTCTCATCTATTTTTGGCTGACTTCTACCGTCCTTACCTTACCTTCTACGTATTTTTAACATGAAGTCTGTTGCAACTTTACAATGCGCATAAAATAGTTAAATATTAAACCTGAGTTACTTTTAAACCAATCTCATTTCCTCGACTTTATACTGGTGGGTAATTCTAGTATCAAAATTCGAGCTACCCTTGGGAATGCTAGTAAGGTTTCAAGGAATATAATGCGTTCTACGTAACACTTTCACAACCATGTAACTTGTTAAATAAAGAAGTAACATTTTGGGGTTTTGTGATGAGTGCAATTCCGTTGAATTTCATGTACTAGTTTATTTACAGGAAATATTAAACATTAAATTTAGATTGACTATTATTAATACCTGTGTTGTCAAATAATTTAAAATGAATGAGGGAATTCTATTGAATTAAGTAGGAGGTTAGCATTAGGCGTAACTACAGTTAAGTTACATAAAGCTTGCTGTGAATAGTGTTTGAAAAATATCGAAGTCAGAAAATATAGCTTTACCTGCAATAAAAAAATTCAAGCGCAGACAAAAATTGAGATCTTTCTCATATGAAGGCCATCAAAAAGTTGCTCTATTTGAACTTATCATGTAAGTGAAAACAGTCTTGTTTTCTAGTGTTCTCGACTTCTACTACTATAGGGATGTTTGTTGAGTGTTGTTGGAAACGGGGCCACGAATGCGACTCGCTTTAGACTGGGACCTTTGCTCGTAACAGGCTAAATAGAAAAACTGTTATTTTATTTCAAAATATGTGTTTTGGCGTTTATAATACTATGTATTTTAAAAAATAATTTTTCGTCCAGAAAAGTGTAAAAGTAACGTCTTCTCAAAAAAATCTTTCTGATAAATTCACTAAAAGGCTCCACCATTGTATCAGGTTAGTTCCCTGCAATGAAAAAAATTTAAGTGAATTTCAGTTTCTACCTACACGAGTTTAACATTTTGTAGGATGTAGGTATACAAATCCACTTATTTCAATTCAAATATTTAGGTTTATGTAATATGAGAGGTTTCTTGATCATAGCTTTCAATAATTAATTGTTAAAAAATAAATCCGTTTAAAAGACTTAAGTACGATGATTTTATTCAACACCGCTTCCGCAAGTTCCATACCTCATAATATAAATGCATTTTTTAAGTACTTAGTACTTATCAATGATTAAAGCACTAATCCATTGCTTTTATTTGTTATCGATTTGTACAAAAATATCAGTAGGTACGTATTGAAGTAAAGCACATTAAAACGATGCACTTGATTCGATAAGTTAAAATTTAAATACAGGTAGGTAGGTACTTAGTCCTGAATTTGGTGTTTCCTTACAGACAGGAAATTCTTTATCATTTGAGATTTGAGTCAAATTAAGCTGTGAAATTACAAAAACACACAAGCACATACACCACACACTATTCCGAAGTACATAAACAGCAGTTAGAAGTACCTACCTACCTAATAGCATCAAGCTATCCAAAAAGTATACGAATCTAACGAAAACGTACCTAAATGTATTTACATGGAGTTTCAGTTACTGATATAATATACTTTTAGAAAGAAAGAAAGAAAGAGAGAAAGAAAAAATATTTATTTGGTACTAAATTTTACGTACCGTTTCAGTATTTAGTATAGGATTCAGCTATACATATTTCCTTAATAATGGTACAGGTCTAGGTCTAAACGTGGACTAAAGAAGACTGATATGAGAAAATAGTTAGGTGTTTTCAGTAAAAACCAATAATTATAAATATCATAATGTTGTAAAGCTACTTACCAAAATTCCCCAGAATGCAAACAAACTATTTATCGTTTCCCTTCAGTTATCTCTCCCACAGACCAAAGATACGGTAATCTACGAGTTTTTATTAAGTAAGTACGTGTCATTTTAATTACTAAATTAATCTCTTTATCTATTATCGGGTTTTCCTAATTACCAAACAGCAAAATAAATAATTGATTCCTTATCTTTCATGGAAGCTTATGAAAAACTAGCGGCCGCCCGCGACTTCCTACGCGTGGATCCCGTTTTACCCCCTTCATCTATCTTACGCGGTTTAGATTTTTTCATACAATTTTTTTAACGCTAACTCCCGTTCCCGTGGGAATTCCTAAGTATACTATAACCTGCCCAGGAGTACGAAGAATAATTGTAACAAGTTTCGTCAAAATCCATCGAGAGTAGTTTTTGTTTCTATAAGGAACATACAGACAGACTGACAGACAGACAGACAGACAGACAAAAATTTTACTGATTGCATTCTTGGCATCAGTATCAATCGTCGAAAGTCGATGATTATTTAAAAGATAAAAATATTTGGGATGCGTTACTGCCTAGCTCGCATAAATATTTATAACTTTGTACATTTTAAAGCATGTAAACCTTTGAAAAAGAGGCTGACAATAGTGACTGAGTTTCTTGCGCTGCTTCTTCTCAGCACTGGCCCTTTTATTGTCCTGAAGCAGTGGCAGGGTTAGTACTGGGACGTGTAAAAGTGCTTTTTTTAAGCCTATTTACAGAAATAAATGAGTTTTATGAGTTTTAGTTTTTATGATCACTAATCATCCTCTGATAGTTATTTTAAAAATATATTTTCATGTACAGAATAATTGACCTCTCTACAGATTTATTAAAAGTATAGATAGATAAATATGCGACAGGTCCATTGATATTATGGTCCCAAATGTGTCATGAATGCTGCTAAACTTAACAGATTCTTGGAAAGTCACACGCTCGTCCGCTTTTGGCAGAGCGGTTGTGGTCATGTTAAGTCCTCTACTTCGATTGTAGAAGCCCTCTGCACGATCTACCGCCATCTTTTCTTATCATCAGAGTTTTATTTATCAGATCGAAGCCACGATAGCCGAACGGTGAAGGGGTTGGACTGGCCGACTCGTGATCCGGGGAACGCTGGGTCGGTCCCCGCCGCCGCCACTCGTGACACAAGCATTTATTTAGCTTAGTACGAGGAGCTAACGGGAGTATTGTTGAGTATTAGTAATTTGTGAAATAACAAAAAGACTAGTGCAGTCAGATACGCAGTTTCCTTCCCACTGCAGATTTCATGAAACTGAGTGCATGTGACTGGTCACGCGATCGGGTGACAAGACACACAATGTCTTCAGCAAATCGTTCGTCGACGCGTTGTTGCGGACCCCCGTTGTGTCACCATTTTATCATTGGGAAATACTAAGGGAAATACATTTAATCCATCAAAAATAATTAAGTAATCATTAAACCAAAGGGTAGGTGCGGCACTATCATGCACACGGGATAATTATAATACACAAGATATATTTTTTATTACTTATGTATAAGACAAATTGGATGCCTGATGGTAAATAGCCCTGTACTTAGTCATCACGGAGAAGAATCTGTTGATGTGAGGTCAGAACTACATTGCAATTATGGGAAAAACTGCATTGCTATTATGGGAAAATATGACTACTTTCTATTTTTTGATACTACTATGAAAACGTCGCGTCCCGGTTTACCTACTCCGTGTTACTCCGTGACTTATGCCATGGCGCTTGCAACAGTGCCAAAATATCGAAAACATGGTAGCAATCCCGTTAGTAATAATAATTATACTGTTGTCTGTCCTTCGGTCGACACTACAGGTCTAATTCTTCACACAAAAAAAAAACAGGGAGATAAAAATTATGTTGTGGGATATAATTTCCCGCACCTCCTCAAATTACATATGATAAGATTAAGAGCGTAAAATTTCTATCAATCTCTATACTATAAAATAGAAGTAAATTTTTCGGAGTTAGTCTGACTCTGGCAAAATGAAGGTACTTCTTGGATCACTGGTTCTAGTGCTGGCCGTCGCGGCTTCGTATGCCGAGGGGCCATACAACTACCATCAGAGGATTGGTATTTCTGAGGCAGCTAAGATCAAGAGCAATGAGGAAGATGCGGCTAAAGCCGGAGTAACCGGCAGAATCGTTGGTGGATCCAACGTTGACATCTCCCAAGTACCTTACCAAGTAAGTTTTGGTCGTTTATTTTTACATTTTATTTTGATACTGTTATATTAATAATAATAAATAATAATAATAAATATCCTTAGACATTTCACACTGCGCTTCTAGTCCCAAACTAAGCAAAGCTTGTACTATGGGTACTAGACAACGGATATAAACATACTTAAATACTTTTTTTTGATTAATTAAATGACACAAAGTATTAGCTAAACTAAAAAAATTGCAATGAAGTTAAAATTTAAAACCTACACTTTATTCTACAATGAAGGGAATTTAGATATTTTTCTTTGTACTGTAGGCTAGGAGGTAATAATAAAAACTTATCACTGTTTGACTTATTTAAAACTAACAATACAAGACCCAAGAATATTTCAATACTTCTAGTTGGTGCACGCTGCATAGGTATAGGTTTGTGCCTCTATATAAACAGCTAGATAGGTACTTCTTTGCGTGAGGCTTCTTGCTATGTCAGAACAAAATCTTGCTTAACTGACGTAACTTCCTTTTTCCCAGGTCGGTCTCGTCATTCAAGTTCTGTGGATCCTGCAATCCGTCTGCGGTGGCAGTTTGATCTCCAACAACCGTGTGATCACCGCTGCTCATTGCCACCATGACGGTGTCATCACCGCCCAGTCCCACACCGTTGTTCTCGGCTCCAACACCATCTTCAGCGGAGGAGTGCGCCAAGCTACCACCAACATCGTCATGCACCCTCAGTGGAACCCCCAAACTGCTGCCAACGACATTGCCGTCCTCAGAATCAACAATGTTGCTTTTACCAGTGAGTACCACATTCTTCTCCAGCCCACCAGCCCACCAGCTCGTAGAGACGATGGCCGTTGGGGCAGGAAAGTTCTCGAGTGGCGACCACGGGCTGGAAGACGTAGCGTGGGCAGGCCTCCTACTAGGTGGACCGACGATCTGGTAAAGGTCGCGGGAAGAGCCTGGATGCGGGCAGCGCAGGACCGTTCATTGTGGAAAACCTTGGGGGAGGCCTTTGTCCAGCAGTGGACGTCATTTGGCTGAAACGAACGAATGAACGAACGAACCACATTCTTCTGTTATCGCATATGACCAACGTTTTTCAAGTATCAAAAAAATTTATTCAATAATATTCAACTCCATCCAACAATGAATGATGTGATGCAATTTAAAAAGAAACTCCAACATCTGTCTCTTTCGTTCAGAAACGAACAGATTGATGACATGAATAACAGTGCTTTAATCGAGTCCTTTAAACCACTTAATAGCAGCCTAATATTGTGTTCTGTCATCGTTTCAGACGTGATCCAGCCCATCGCTCTGCCCAGCGGCTCTCAACTAAGCAACTCCTTCGAGAACCAGATCGGCATTGCTTCTGGATTTGGACGTACTGTTGATGGTAATATAAGAGACTACTTACACTTTAAAATGCACATTTAAGGACAAAGAGAATTTAATAGAGAGAGGAAGAGAGAGAAACATGATATTTCAAACGCGTCCTTGTGTTATGAGATACTCGTATATTTTTGATTCATGAAGTTAACTGCTTAGCTATGTTTGGTACTATTACTTATTCTGGGGCTATGTTAAGCCTTTAACGGGCATAACAAGTCCAAAATGTTCATTGTTTTTGGACCTTAAGACAAGGGAATACAGTTCGAAATGTGGTGGGAACTATATTCCCACTGCTGTGTAAACTAAACAAGTGCTATTCAAAAGCCTTATTACAAAAAAATAATGACTTTTATGCCCTATTCCAGGTGCCAACATCCCCAACAACCAAGTCCTGAGCTGGGTGAGACTGCCGATCATCTCCAACGATGACTGCGCGGAAATCTATGGCCCCTTCGTCCACGCTAGCAACATCTGCACCAGCGGCGCTGGCGGTATGGGCACGTGCCAGGGAGACTCCGGCGGCCCTCTGGCGGTGGAAGTCAGCGGCTCGAGACTCTTGGTGAGTAAACTTTTGTATTAATGAGTGTCTGTGTAGACTGCGCGGCAATCTACGGCCTCTTCGTCCACATCAGCGATATACGCTAGGTTAAGGTTATACGCTAGGAAGACTCAGTCGCCCTTTTGGCAGAGTTCATTAGACAATAATCTTTAGGAAAAATTTTGCACTTTCCGCGAAATGTAGCTCGCGGCGCTACTCGCTTGAGGAGTTATTCACTCGCTGAACTTTTTAGAAAGTATATTTATGTAACAATTTTTTTCTTTCTAGGTTGGTGTGACGTCATACGGTGCTGAAGCAGGTTGCGCAGCTGGATTCCCGGCTGCGTACGCGCGCGTCACCTCTTTCACTTCCTGGATTTGGTCAATCTAAGCTCAAAATAATAACAGTGTAACATCCTTTTCGTACTGGATTTTGTGATATTCAGAATAATTTTTATTTTATTGTTTTGAATAGAAAAATAATATTCTGAATTTGCCTGGTCTTTATGTTGTTAATAATTTTTATTAATGATAATAAAATAATTTTAAATTAAATTGTAATTTGTCCGTTTTTTCCTTTTCCCCGTCCGTCAGCTGTGTAATAAAATAAGTGGATATTCTCAATATTTTAAATTTACCTACCGTTATCGTAACTTGAAAAAGTACATATAACCTAAAATTGTATCGTAACTGTAAGGCCGCTTTCTGGGTTTTGAACATTTTGGACATTACCCACTACGCTTCTAGTCCCAAACTAAGCAAAGCTACTAGACAACGGATATAAACATACTTAAATACTCTTTTTATTTGTAAATACATACTTAATAGACATAGTGACACCCAGCCCCATCACAGAAATTAAAATTCATCATTTCAATTTCTGCCCGGCCGGGAATCGAACCCGGGACAGCCCGGGACCTCTTGGAATAGCAGTCCGTTCCGAACCACTACATCAAACGGCCGACTATATGATAAGTGGGTCTAGACAAACTGCAAATTATAATCGCAAACCAGTCGAAAAGTGGTCGAAAAGCCCCTTTTTTGTATGGAGTTTTGACGGATTCGATTTTCGATTCGATCAAAAAGTGCGTTTTGTCTAGGGGGGCAGCTTTGCAATGAAAATGACAATTAGGTACCTACCAACAGTAAGGCTGAGTTGCACCACCTAACTTTTACCGTAGCTATAACGGTAACCGGTGCTTTTTGTATGGAGTTTGACAGATTTTTGACGTTTGTTCAAAGTTAAAGTAAGATGGTGCAACTAAGCCTAAGTGTGCGGACTTGCATACCAGTGACAACCGTCCGGCTCAAAACGTCTAATTTGAAAAAGCTCTAATGGCACAAAATAGTAACAGAAGATAATCACCTGTATTCTATGTACGTCATTAAGCTTACGCACACTATGTGTACACGTTGCCCGAGCGCACTTTGTATGTAGATTATTGCTCCTATGTATTTATTGGTAACTAGCTTTCTGCCTTAGGGCATGTAATATCGGAAGGTTTTCAATTCCGATATTGGATTCCGATATTAGATCTCAATATCGGAATTCCGATATTAATATCGGAATTGAGTTCATGTGCTATAAAATTAATATTTGGTTATATTCGTAAGAATTCTGGATTGTTTACAATAAAATAATGATTTTAATCAAAATCTTTAATTTTGTACAAAACAGCACTTCATAAAATTGAAGTATTATAACCATTTTTACGTTATGGGTATCCATTGCATTTGGTTTTTTATGTGACAAGAGGCAAACGAGCAGACGGATCACCTGATAATGAATGGTTACTGATAATGAGCCTATATGGACTAGCAAATAATTAAAGTGTTTTTGTAAAATCACAGGTATCAAACAAACTTTTACTCCTTCATTATATTACCCTGTTTTATGTTGGCGGAACGAATTTTAGAGTCATTCAAATCACGTGTTACAAAAATTGTAGAGAGTGGTAAAAAACTTGAATATGCTTGTAATTTGTTCCTTTTTGATTATCGATGTACAACTCACAAAACCACGAGCCATCATCATCATCATGTCAGCCATAGGACGTCCACTGCTGAACACAGGCTCCGATGCTGATTTTCACAATGGCCGGTTGGTGGCGGCCTGCATCCAGCGCCTTCCTGCTACCTTTATGAGGTCGTCGGTCCACCTTGTGGTTATGAGTCCTACGCTGCGCTTTCCGGTACGTGGCCTCCACTTCAGAACCTTGCTGCCTCATCGTCCGTCTGTTTTGCGTACTAAGGCAGAACCGTTGGAAGACCTTATCACAATGCTCGAAGACCTTAATCGAGTTTCCCAACAGGTAGGCCTTCGGATGAATATGGAAAAAACGAAGCTTATGTCGAATGTCCATGTTGCTCCTTACCCAGTTTCGGTTAGGAGCTCGATTCTCGAGATTGTTGACAAGTAAGTATGTCTATCTCGGACAAACGATCAGCTAGGTAGTTAGATGCAATTTCGAGAAAGAGGTAAATCGTCGAATACGAAGACGAAAGTCTTCAATTAGTGTGTGTTACCAGTGATGATATACGGCTCGAAAACGTGGCCTTTGAATATAGGGCACAACGTGCTATGGAGAGGGATAAGCTTGGTGTTTCTTTACGAGATCTAATCAGAAATGAGGAGCTCCGTAAACTAACTAAGGTCGCTGACATAGCCCGACGGATTAGCAAGCTGAAGTGGCAATGGGCAGGGCACATAGTACGCTGAACTGACGATCCATGTCCAGTAAAATTAATGTTTGAAAGGGAGTTGAAATGTCGTTCTTTGTTGACCAAGTACCTATGGCAAATGCTAAAATTGATTTAGGTCAAGTTAAATTAACCATAAATAGTAAAAATATTAAAATATTTGCAGTGGAACAAAAATTGATGGTGAGAGACATGAGAAAATCATTGGTCTTTGCCAATCATGTACTTTGGGCTTTGTGGCAGGTTGTGGCGAGTTTAAACGCTTTGTTTAAAATCTCAATTAAAACTTTTATCTGATTCAGATATTACGATATTGGGTCGCTCAATATCGGAATTGAAATATCGGATCTCGCAGTCCGAGATTCCGATATTACGAGATTCCGAGATTCCGATATTCATGCCCTAATCTGCCTGTGGCTTCGCCGGCGTGGAATTTTATCTGTCACAGAAAAACTTTATCGCGCGCATCCGTTTCAAAATCGGGATAAAAACTATCCTGTGTCCTTTCCCGGGCCTCAAACTATCTCTTATGCCAAATTTCATTTAAATCGGTTCAGTGGTTTAGGCGTGAAAGGCATTTTTGTCGATAAAATTGACATAATAACATCGCCTTAAATTATCGCTAGCCCTATCCCAAATACACTGTATGGATAAATTGGTGCCGGCTCGTGCCAAAATTTAATCCGTATAATCAAATCAAATCAAAATCTAAAAATAATTACAAATTATCATATTAAAGGGTAGTTGCGGCACTATTATACATACGGGAAATTGTAATTACTTACTCCCGATATATTCTTTATAACTGTAGGAAAATCGAGTATATTTTGTAGCCTGATGGTCATAGGATAGGAAATAGTTATTAAGCAGTGAAAAAAAATCATAACATAAAACATTTTTTTCTATGGGTAGCTTAGTTAATTAATAACCCTCCTTCTGGCACAGTCGGGTAAAAATTCACACCGAAGTTCCAATTAGATTCAAAATACTTACATGGAGATAATTAAAATAGTTACTTAGTTAAACATATTCTTAATCCTTTTGTTTGATCAAGTATAAAAAAAGCACTGTATACGTCACAATTAATTAGCCGTAGCTCCTCAATCAAACGAAGATAAGATTGGGCATCACTATAAAATGTAAATTAATTTGAGAGGCGCGTATCTATTCTGACTTATTGAAGGTGCTGCTTGGATCACTGGTTCTAGTTCTGGCCGTCGCGGCTTCGTATGCCGTGGGGCCCTATAACTACCATCAGAAGACTGGTATTGCCTTGGCAGCTAAGATCAAGAGCACTGAGGAAGATGCGGCTAAAGCCGGAGTAACCGGTAGAATCGTTGGTGGATCCAATGTTGACATCTCCCAAGTGCCATTCCAAGTAAGTTTTGGACATAATTTTATTTTGACACAAAATTCATACCTGTTAAGGTTACAAAATTATTGGAAAAAGTTAAAAAGAATAATAGAATTAAAATTGAACACTACACTTTTGTTACACTACAAGAGACAAACAAGGTTCAAGATTTTTCTTAATTCTGTGTCATTTTATTTATTTCTTATTTAATCTCGCGAATTTCAATATTTGCATAGTACTTTAAGCCAGAATATAGTTGATAATTTCTTTGTAACATCTTCCCCCAGGTCGGTCTTGTCATTCAAGTCCTATGGATCCTGACCTCCGTCTGTGGCGGCAGTTTGATCACCAACAACCGTGTGATCACCGCTGCTCATTGCCACCATGACGGTGTCATCACCGCCCAGTCCCACACTGTTGTTCTCGGCTCCAACACCATCTTCAGCGGAGGAGTGCGCCAAACCACCACTGACATCGTCATGCACCATGACTGGAACCCCCAGACTGCTTCCAGCGACATTGCTGTCCTCAGAATCAACAGTGTTACTTTTACCAGTGAGGACCACATTATTCTGTTGTCGCATTATATTACAATCACTAGCGGCCGCCCTCGACTTCGTACGCGTGGATCTCGTTTTACCCCCTTCATCTATCTTACGCGGTTTAGATTTTTTCATACAATTTTTTTCCCGCTTACTCCCGTTGCGGTGGGAATTTTGCAATATCCTGTTGTAACTAAGCTTTATGTTTACTAAGGTACCTGCATGCCAAATTTCAAGCGTCTATATTACGCGGTTTAGATTTTTTCATACAAATGTTTTTTCCCGGTAACTCCCGTTCCCGTGGGAATTTTGCAATATCCTGTTGTAACTAAGCTTTAAGTTTACTAAGGTACCTGCATGCCAAATTTCAAGCGTCCAACTTAAGCGGTTTAGATTTTTCATACAAAAGGATTTTCCCGCTAATTCCCGTTCCCGTGGGAATTCTTAAGTATCCTATAACCTGCCCAGGAGTATGAAGAATAATTGTACTAAGTTTCGTTAAAATCCGTTGAGCAGTTTTTGTTTCTATAAGGAACATACAGACAGACAGACAGACAGACAGACAGACAGACAGACAGACAGACAGACAGACAGACAAAAATTTTACTGATTGCATTTTTGGCATTAGTATCGATCACTAATCACCCCCTGATAGTTATTTTGAAAATATATTTCATGTACAGAGTTGACCTCTCTACAGATTTATTATAAGTATATAGATTGTTTGGTACCTAATTGTTAAAAAACTTTATTCTATATTTAGCGAATAATGATATGAAAATTTAATTCAATCCAACAATGAGTGATCCACTTTATTTAATTTTAATTATTATTAAAAATATTTTTAAGCCAAACCATTCCGGTCTTCCAAACTTAACTAATAATTTATATACTTGAATTAACTTTTCAGACGTAATCCAGCCCATCCATCTACCCAGTGGTATTCAACTGGGCAACACCTTCGACGGCATCGGTACTGCTTCTGGATACGGACGAACTGCTGATGGTAATAAAACATCACTCTCTAAATTTCTAAAAAGTAGTGAAGGAAGAGAAAGAGTGAGACAACAGAGAGAAGTAAATAGAGAAACATGATATTTCAAACGCGTCCTAATTGGTAGCAAATTATTTGTTACTTTTTGAAGTTGACTGCTTGACAAATTATTACCTAAGAACATCGTGCCTTTTTAAAACTCTTATTGCAAAAAAATAATGGCTTTTATGTTATATTCTAGGTGCCGGCATCCCTAACAACCAAGTCCTCAGTTGGGTGCGACTGCAGATCATCCATAACAACGCCTGCGCTGCAGTCTATGGTCCCTTCGTCCACCCTGGCACCATTTGCACCAGCGGCGCTGGTGGTATGGGCACGTGCCAGGGAGACTCCGGCGGCCCTCTTACGGTGGAAATTATGGGCGTGAGACTCTTGGTGAGCAAACTTTTGCATTAATATGTATAATGTATTGAGATCCACGCCAGCAGTGTAATGTTGCACACAGGGAGGCCGTCTGGCAGTGAAAGTCAGTGTCTTGAAGGGTAAACGTGAATTCGTAAGATGAATATTTTGGAAAAACTAAGTAGGTACCTATGTAGATTTGAATATTACATAGACATCCGTCATTAACTCTGCCATTGATTTAATTTTCGCGTGTAATTTGCCACTAATTTGCCACTAACGCAACATTTGTGGTTATGTTTGTTGTTTCGAATGATCGAATCCCGATGTAGGTATGGAGCCATGACTCTTACACGTGCATACTTAGTTTTTTTTTAATTTGTTATCTTATCACTACATCACACCAAGTTAAATAATGTGTTAATTTGTTGTGATTGTACGAACGACCAAAGATGTGTGCAACTAGCCATAAGCTCACTTCACACGCACAACTTATTAGGTGTTTGTAACATATTTCTTCTTCTTTCTAGGTTGGTGTGACGTCATTCGGCGCCGAAGCCGGTTGCTCAGCTGGATTCCCGGCTGCGTACGCTCGCATCACCTCTTACTTTTCATGGATTTGGTCAATCTAAGCTCAGCTAGTTTATATTGAAACGAAAAAAATTACCGGCTGTGTAATCTTTGTGCTGTGAAACAGTTTTTATAAATGATAATAAAATAATTTTGAATTAAATTTTAATTTCTGTTTTTTCCTTTCCCCCTATTATCGAAATCTTAGATCATCTGTAAACCAGACCCCTAAGTCTCTCACTCTAGTAACTCTTTTCATCGGCATCTGGTTAACATTGTAGGTCCTGTAGTTGTAGTTGACTACGAGTTCTTGCAAAGGATATCATGACACACTTTGAAACATTAAATTGCAGCTTGTTATTTTCACTACATGCCACAACCCCGTCAATATCCCTTTGCAATCGCTCGCGATCCTTTTCATCTTTGATTAGCAAAAACAATTTATGATCAACTGAAAAGAGCAGGCACTTTGAATATCTTACCACCTCCAACAGATCATTTATCATTAAACTTGAGCACAAGATTACTGCCCTGACTCACTCTTGATCGAATTAAATATGGTTCAGACCGGCAACCAGAGTATTCAACGAAATGCTTTCTATTTGTCATGTAGCTTGCTAAAAACCATAATAGCTGAGGCGTGCAGTCGATAGCAGCTAACTTCCGAAGAAGGATATGATTGTCCACAACATTGAGTGCCTTGCGGAAGTCGAAGTATGCTGCGTCTACTTGAACCTTTTCACTGTCAACAGCAGGCATTATTTCCGTTACATAGTTCAGGAGATCACTTGTTGTTTGTTGTACTACGACCCGGTCGAAAGCCGCGCTTCGCGTCGGTTAACTGTGCGTTCACTTTTTTGTATTGCCGATTCGAATACCTTAGCAGGCGTCGGTAACACTGCCACTGGTCTGTAACCATCAACTGATGTAATGTACCACATAAACCACCCTTAGGGTCTGGAACCACGTATGTAGTTTTAAAAATGTCTGGAAACAGTCACTTAAGCACCTGTTATAAATAATAGCAATGGCTCAGGCAACATACCACGAAAATCCCTAAAAATATAGACCAGAATCCCATCAGGACCAGTAGACCTTTTGGGATCCAGCTTTGCGAGTGAGCGCTCGACCTCTGCCAACTGTAGTTACCCTATATTGTATCCTGGTTGATCCATTAGCATCGCCAGCGCTTGCTTTTGCTTTTTCGATATTAAGTTCCGCTCGCTGCATGCTGTAAACGGAGAGAAATTAACTGGCGAACTCATTGGACGGGGGTCTTTCAATATTGTTTTAGTATTCCTGTAATCTCGTTTAGACTTTATACTTCAAATCCTCTGCTAAATGGTTTTGAACAGATTTGACAAGTTGCTCATGACAACTCACTATCCTATTTTTTACCCGACTCCTACACAAAGCAAACTCCTTATAATCAGTCTTCACAAAAGTTTTGAGTATTCGTAATCGTGAAAAAACTGTTTCCCCAACCTATATTACAAGTCAATTATCAGTTTGAGATATTATTTGCTTAAAAAGGATAGCAAAAAGTAAAAACTGGTTATAATTTGAAATTAAATTTTTGTTTTGATGATCATTTACTATTTTTGGCATTAAGGAGAATTTTTTTGACGTTATATTTTACTAGGTAAATCTGGTGATAAGCCATCTTTCGTATAAACAGAGTCATTATCTATATAAAAGGGTAGGTGCGGCATAATTATGCACATGGATCGTTATTATTAATTCCCATATAATTTTATAGATGTAGGACAACCGAGTAAGTATTTGTAGTCTGATGGTAAGTCATTATAATCCTATAAAAAGTTGTGTAATTAAAAATAGAGCAATTAACCTACTCGATTTGCGGGGCTTAAAAGGCTAAATGGCTGATTGTTGATGATAATTTGTATGGAAAGGTAATTTTCTTTAAAAACATTTAATGTCGGTCCGAGGAAAAGTTGTTGCATTTGAGCAGTAGAATCAATCCTTTTGTGATTACAATTAACCGTACCTCCTCAATTGAATAAGATAAGATTAAGGCTATCAGTATAAAATATAACTTAATTTGACGGATGCGTATCAATTCTGGCATAATGAGGGTACTTCTAGTATCACTGTTTCTAGTACTGACCATTGCGGCTTCGCATGCCGTGGGGCCATATAAATACCATCGGAGGATTGGTATTCCTTTGGCAGCTAAGATCAGAAGAACTGAGGAAGATGCGGCCAAAGCTGGTGTGACAGATCTCAGAATCGTTGGAGGATCCAATGTTGACATCTCCCAAGTACCATATCAAGTAAGTTTCGGTCATTTATTTTATTTTGACACGTAATTCATTGCTGTTAATATTACAATATTGTGGGCAAAAACTTAAAAGAATAAAGGCTATATTTCACCGGGACACTATGGCGGCGCAACCAGCCGGCTACCAACAAAATGTTTGCAGTTTTGCGCAACCAAACGGACACCAGGTGAGTAACTCTCTATAGAGCTGCATACATTTTGTTGGTAGCCGGCGACTGGTTGCGCCGCCATGGTGTCCCGGTGAAATATAGCCCTAAGAGAATTAAAATTGAAAATCTACACTTTTATTCCACTACACTAAGAGACAAACGAAGTTCAATTTTTTTTTATTCTGTAGATTTATTCGTACCACAAATTGCACACTTTACTATACTCTTTCAAACTTGTAAAACAAATCTCAAGAATTTTAGTATTTGCAGAGTACCTACTACCTACTTTATGCTAGAATATGATTGATAATTTCTTTGTGATTCTCTTCCCCCCAGGTCGGTGTTATCAACCGAATCGCATTTTTCCTAACCTCCGTCTGTGGTGGCAGTTTGATCTCCAACAACCGTGTGATCACAGCTGCTCATTGTCATGATGACGGTGACATCGAGGCCCTGTCCCACACTGTTGTTCTTGGCTCCAACACCATCTTCAGCGGTGGAGTACGTCAATCCACCACCAACATCGCCATGCACCATGACTGGAACCCCATGACTGCTTTTAGCGACATTGCCGTCATCAGAATCTACGATGTTACTTTTACCAGTGAGTACCACCTACTACACCAGTCTGTTGTCCATGACAAGTTCTTTTAATTATTATTATTAATAGTCTTGTTATCCCCTTTTGATAATGCTTGTGTAACGAGTGGGTTCACCACAAAAACCAGTGGCGGCGGCCAGTCCGACAGCAAAAACATTTTTTTGAATACAATGCTATACATAATATTAATTATCATCGTTTCAGACGTGATCCAGCCCATCCATCTGCCCAGTGGCATGCAGCTGGGCAACACCTTCGAGGGCCTGATCGGCACTGCTTCAGGCTTCGGAAGAACTGCTGATGGTAATATAAAACATTACACCTTAAAATATTACACTTAAAGGTAGCCTTTCAAACTAAGCGTCACAGACGCAGCGTCTTTAGCTTTGGTCTTGTACCACCAACGCCGCGTCACAAACTTGCTTCGAAAGGCTACCTTTAAGACCAAAGCTAAAGACGCTGCGTCTGTGACGCTTAGTTCGAAAGGCTACCTTTAAAGTGGTGAAAGAACAGAGTGAGACTTAACTAATAGACACAGGAAAAGGGAGGAATATGATATTTCAAACGAGTCCTTAGTGATAGCAGATTTTGTTACTTTATGAAGTTGATCTGTTACTATAAAGTTAATTATGTTAAAACTAAACGTGTCATATTAAACACATTGTGCTTTCTAAATGCCTGCCTTATTAATGACTTTAATGACATTCTTAAGGTGCCAACATCCCCAACAACCAAGTTATCAGTTGGGTGAGACTGCCGATCATCTCTAACAACGCGTGCGCCGCAGTCTATGGCCCCTTCGTCCACGCTAGCACTATTTGCACCAGTGGCGCTGGTGGTATGGGCACGTGCCAGGGAGACTCCGGCGGCCCTCTGGTGGTGGAAATTATGGGCGAGAAACTCTTGGTGAGCAAAATTTTGCATTAGTGTATAATCAGTCCCTGTGTCGACGTCAGCAACGTGCATCAACGGTCCTGGTGGCAAAGTCACGTGGCAGAGAGGCACTGGCGATGGAAGTCAGTGATTCTCAGACTTGCATTCTTTGTTTTTTTATCACATCAAGATAAACACTGTGGTTGAATTAATTTAAACAGTTTTTAACGCGATACGCGAAGAGGTAATATTGAAATATTACCTGTATTTGCCTGACGTTTCGACCGAGTTGCACCGGCCGTGGTCACAGGCTGACTGAGCCTACGTAGTATGTTTCAAATAATTCAATTATGCAACGCGAAAGTTTAAAATTAAACACTGTGGTATCTTGTTTGGTTTTTGTAGGGGCCAATTTCCATCAATTTTTTTTGTACTTTGATGTGACGTCAACTTTCTTGGTTTGTTGTGATTGTACGAATGTGATAAAAAAGGTGTAAGCTCACTTCCTTACACTTTTTAGGAGGTTTTGTAATTTTGATTGATTTCTTTTTCTTTCTAGGTTGGGGTGACGTCATTCGGCGCTGAAGCCGGTTGCTCAGCTGGATTCCCAGCTGCGTACGCACGCATCACTTCTTTCATGAATTGGATTTGGGCATTGTAAGCTCAAAATAATAACTGTGAACATTCAGTTCGTACTGAAGTTTGTGATATTCAGAATGATGTTTATTGTTTTGAATAGACAAATAAGCACTCTGAATTTGGCTGCCCTTTGAGTTGTGTAATAGTTTTTATTGGTGTCAATAAAATAATTTTAAATTAAATTGTAATTTGTCAGTTATTTACCTTTTCAACGTCCGCGTCCTTAATTGGATTATATTATAATCCTTAAGTCTTTGTAATAAATAAAAATCTCAATTTTTAGGTCCATTATCCTACAGAATAAAATATCTATAACGATCTTAAAAAGAAATCTAACATACAGCGACAATAGTCCAACGGTGTCGGTGTAGAACTGACCGAACCCACCTTGTTCAAAAATCTGTCAAACTTCATACAAAAAACACCGGTTATTGATGTTACGGTTAGGTTAGTTAGTTAGTTGAAGTTGGCTAAATTTATATAGATACAGAACATACATTTTAGTTAAGGTGTTATTCCCAAAGGTCCACAGCTCCAATCCATATAGAATGAGTAGTATTAGCCAACAGTCAGATGTTTACCATTACGTAATATTTTTTTTACAATTTATAAATGCAACCGTATCCACATCAAAGCACTCTTCTTGAGATAGTGAAACGAGGTTGACATAGTCTGACATCAAGGTTATACAGTATTATAATAGTTTTTTTTTTAAGGTAACACAGGTGTTTATTGGGTTCCAGTTGCAACAATACAGCTATACAGGCAGGTTGTAGCAACACTCACGAGATTTAACTTTTAATTAAAAGTAATATGAAAAGTACCTACTAATTGTCATATTATAAAAAAATACTAAAATAAGAAGAAAGTAGATACATTGCTTTATTTAATTAGATCTTACTCGTAAAATAGCTTGGTATCTACGAGTACGGAGACGCTCTACGGAACTCCGAGTAGGTACTTAGTATTTTAATAGTGTGATTAGAAATGACAGCCAACTGTACTGAAATATGGTAAACCTATCATAAAATAATAATAATTATTGACGGGATTGCTACCATGTACCTACCTTAATTTCGAGTTTCCGATATTAAGGAAACGATAGTAATGTTAGTGACCATGAAAGTTTAAAACAATATACTCGTACTATCATAAAATTACCAGCTACTATGACACAATACGACTAACTAAACCGGATGTACCTAGGTATTAAATACTTAATAAGGAAATTAAACCTATTGTGACGACAATTATTTTATCAATCGCCTTGAATTTCATATTGTACCTACTCGTATTTATCATAACAGATGAGTAAAATTGAACTCAAATTGTAACTTAATAAGAAATAGATAATAAGATGGCTGAATTATTTTTATTTCGACCAAAACTGTAAGGTTTTTATTGTGGATTAAAAAAAATAAAAAATATTAGATGTTAAAGTATCGTTGTTTTGAATGAAGGATTGACCGAAAATTCGTTTTTCCATAAAAACTTATAATTACCTTGTCTCGGTGAATAAATATTCTTTAATTTTGACGAACCACATACCTATCTATATTTTTTGTCCTTATAACAACAAAATACTTACAATATTTTTGAAACGCACTCAATGCACTGAATGCAATCACTGCCTTTACCCCATCATAATAAATAAATAGTGAAGTACCTACCTACCTAATTATTAAGTTCAACAATTGGACTAATATCATAATTATTTTTAAGCCGATTAATGACTAGACATTTAAAAAACATAGATCTGGAAAAACCCAAACGTACCAAGAAATGAGAGTATACACGGCCTAATTGTCACAATAGAAATATACGGACACAGTCATAATACGCACGCATTGAGCAACATGTTTTTGTCCTAACCGACTTACTTATTTTCAAGAATCTTCATACTTAGATAATTATATTTTTATTGTCTAAAAAAAGTTTTCATTCAATACGATAGAAATAAAGAAAAAAGTTTTTATTTCATGTCCTTTTTTTTCTCAAACTTCTGCGTTCGTTCGTTCGTTTCAGTCGAATGACGTACACATCTGAACAAAGGCCTCGGGACCAAGGATTTCTACAAAGATCGGTCCTGCGCCGACCGCATCCAAGCATTTCCCGCGACCTTCACCAGATCGCCACCACATCAAACTTCTAAAGTTCATTAAAATGCGTCCAGCAATTTAGGCTTGAAAACATAACAGACAGTAATAAGACAGACATGTAATATCTTAGTATTATTATTATATTATTTTATAATAATAGTTTGTCATCAGTGTGCCAATTTCCCACACCTCCTCTAATAGATAAGATTATAAGGATTAATAAAATACTATAAAATACAAACAATTTGAAACTATCAATTTAGCGTTCATTAACACTAACAACATGAAGGTACTTCTTGGGTCAGTGGTTCTGGTCTTGGCCATCGCGGCTTCTTATGCTGAGGGGCCATTTAACTACCATCAGAGGATTGGCATTCCTGAGGCAGCTAAGATCAGAAGGACTGAGGAAGATGCGGCCAAGGCTGGTGTCGATCTCAGAATCGTCGGTGGATCCAATGTTGACATCTCCCAAGTACCTTACCAAGTAAGTAGTCATTAGTGCTTCGGTCTTTTCTTCGTTCATTGAGAAAAACTTTCAAGCTGTACAGCTGTACTGGCGATTTGGCAAATCAATAAAACTTACTGAAATTGTAACCGAATTAAGAATTATCTAACTATCCATGGTGACCTGGTGACCTTGTAATCTTTCATTAGGAAAATAAATTATTTTGAGACAGTCAGTCTCTTCTATTATTATTGTTTAATTAATTTCTCTATTCAAGGGAAAACTTGCAAGTCCATGATGGAATAGTTGCAGTGCCATGCTGTAAATATGGTGTTAATATGTTTTTAACTTTACTTCTTCCATAGGTTGGTCTAGTCATCCAAATCCTGTGGATCCTGACTTCTGTGTGCGGAGGCAGCTTGATCTCAAACACCCGTGTGATCACCGCTGCCCACTGCCACCATGACGGCACCGTCACCGCTCAGTCCCACACCGTCGTGCTCGGCTCCAACACTATCTTCAGCGGTGGTGTCCGTCAGACCACCTCTGACATTGTCATGCACCCTCAGTGGACCCCGGAGACCGTTGCTAATGACATTGCCGTCATTAGGATTAACGCTGTTACTTTCACCAGTAAGTATTCTCATACCTGCCTAATTAGACATAAATTCACAAATAAAGAATGCAGGTATTCCAAATTTCCGCTAAACAACGCGACTTAATGTTCAGAATGTAGGCTGTATTTCCACGATATTTACCTATGGCCAATTTAATGCGTTCACTATGAATGCTCTTGTCATTGCATCGTCTGTGCAGTCAAAGTCCGCACAAAGCGTTCCTATGGGGTGTTGGCCAGAAGTCTCTCATTAACAACCCCCACGTCAATGCTCTGTTCTGCCCACTGGCTATGAAGATCACTTTAACTTCAGCTTTTTATTTTTAGTTTCACTCTCTCAGCATACAAAATTGTGTATTGTTGTAATAAGTCATTAAATAAATAATAAAGTCAATTAAACATTTTGTATTTATGTCATTATGATTGCAACTTAGTCAAAGGACTAAGTAGATTATTAAGCATATTTTATTTATTGTGTATTGACCATTTTGTACTCGTAATTACTTTTATAGCCTGACCAGAAACATAAAAACCCTGGCATAGAGGCGCATCAATTGCATTTGATAGTGCAACACTGAGTACAGTCGTACCTGTGTTAAATTAATAGGCTAACTTTATGTATCAGGATTCAGGATTGCGGGCTAATTTAATATTTTTATAAATTAACGAAAACATATTATTATAGGTAACCTGGTTTAAATAAATTAAATGAAACCATCAATCAAGCTAGTAGGATTTATTTTATTATTCATCAATAATCAAATTCAGAACTTGAATATTCAACTGCAATGTCTGCTCATGAACGCTTCAAACTCGGTACTTCTTTCCCAATTCCATAAAATTCAACACTTAGAAAGTGACAAAAATCTTTAAAATAGGTAGTTGAAACAAACCACAGCTAATTTTTATAGTGGACTGTACTATACGATAAACATGTCAGTCAATTTGACAACCTTTGTTGGAAACATTATTCAATGAAAATATTGTCCGAACCCTTGGTATTTCTCTTCGACAAATACTTTAACACATTGTGAACCACTTTTCTTTCACGACTATAAAAATATTTTAGCAATTTCATTTACAAAATCAATTGCGCACATTTAAAATAAAGTTTGTTTACACTTTGACAGCAATAGACTGACATGCAAGGTGACATGTCAATGAAGTTTTTAGATAATGTTGCCATTAAAAGAAATTAGTACCATTAGATTTCCGCAACATGGCGAGGGTTTTTATGTTCCTGGTCAGGCTATAGATAATTCCCGACTCTACTAAATTATATCTCTATTTCAGATGTGATCCAGCCCATCTCTCTGCCCAGCGGATCTCAGCTAAATAACAACTTCGTAGGCCAGGTCGGAATTGCTTCTGGATTCGGACGCACTTCTGATGGTAATTATAAACACTTTGACAAACATAATTTTGTACATTCTAGTTATTCACAAGTTTACAGGATAATACGGCTTATCATCGGTAGAAAAAATTCGTTCGATTTAGGTCAAATTAGTTATTATTTTGTTTGCAAAAAAAGTCTTCGATATGATGACACATTTATCATTAAACCAGGTGCTAACATCCCGAACAACCAACTCGTGAGCTGGGTGAGAGTGCCGATCATCACCAACCAGGCGTGCGCCTCAGTCTTCGGACCCTTCATCTTAAGTAGCACCATCTGCACCAACGGCTCTGGTGGTATGGGCACGTGCCAGGGAGACTCTGGTGGTCCTCTCGCTGTGGAAGTTGGCAACTCTAGGGTCTTGGTAAGTTTTTTTATACTATCAGTGCAAAAAACAGTATAGAAATGATACAGAAATAAAAATTAGCAGGAACAGCTTATTGTTGTCTCAAAATAAGAGAGCTTTCAATAATTTTAATGCAGAGAACAAAAGTTCGCACGCACTTGTGATTTAAAAAACATTTCTCCGAGGATTAAAAAAAACTTTTCAAATATTCCTTCTTACGCCTTCTTAATCACGTTCTTAACGGAGAGCTTAAAAAATGTTAGGTACTTACTTGAGCGTAACACAT